CTTTTTGTTATCTTGTTCACAAAGATTTGAGCAACTTAGAACTTCAGGTTTCAAATTCATTAAAACACTACTTTTGGGTACAAGTTGCTGGTAGACAACAGACATAGGGGAATTCACTTCAAGTTACCTTTTAGTAATTATTACAAGCAGGTAATATCGTTATGAAGTATATGCTTCAAATGATTTGAGTTGAAGAATCTGCAGAAATTGTATTTTTAAAAAAGTGTACACAACATTTAACAAAGCAATGATTCTATGTACTTGGGGAAAATGAAAAAAAATCATTAGTTTAGAAACAATGTTAGATGATACAGTGAATCTATATGACTGAGATCTAACAGAGCTGCATTAAGCAATTAATACAGATGAAATAGTGTAGTTTCTCAAATATAATTTAATTTCCAACTGAGAAAATGAAATTATCATGATCCCAGGAAAAAGTTTAGACATGTGAGAAGATGAAGTATTTCTCAATCTATAAAGGAATCTAAAAGTGAGGGTAAAAGGCTCTTTTGGCACAGAAGTCTCAGTAATGACTAGATATTACTAAAAGAATAGAGTTCATTTGGTCCAATGGAAAGAGCTAACATTTTTAAGTTTTATCTGGAAAGACAATTTCTGAGTAACATCATGCCCAGGGTACAATAGCAAGGAAAATACCATTTGCTCGGTAGTAAAATACTGAAAAACACTGAAAAACAAAATATACCACAGAAGCAGCAGGTAACCCTGATTTCTTAAAACTGGGTCCTTAGATCTATCCCTAAGACATATTAGGGAAAGCTTTTACCTCTATGATTCACGTAACAGGACCCTGAAAGCTATTTGCATCTTACAGTCTTCCATAACTCAGGGATCTGTTTATAAAAATTAATTATTTAAGCTTATCAAGAAAAAATGCAGTATATTGCAAAATATAAACAATCAGCAATGTTGTGCACAACAGGAAGAAATGATCTGTTGACCTTGAGGAAAGGATGGCACAGAAGAACCCCAAAAAAACTGCTTAAGAAGCAACTGTGACAGTTTTAAGTACGAAGTCTATATGCAAAATTAGTATTTACCAGTTAATTTCAGAGAAGAAAGTTTCTTCTAAGAATTGAACATGCTCATTGTGGAAAAAAAATTAGAATACTACTGACACTTTAAAATCTATTCTAGTTAATTGATATAATTTTGTTCATCCAGATAACATGAAAATCTGCATCTTTTTGTGAAAGATCAAAGTCCTATGACTATAAACCCACTCAAATGAAAAATAAGGAAGAAAGAAGTTGCTCTGACTGGAAAACCAATGTATTTTCTACAAGAAATTCCTGAGGTTATATAATCACCTGCCAACACTGTAAATGCCTACTAATGAAGTCATGCAGTAACATTTCATTTTGCTCCCAGAGGGGAAAAGAGAAAAAGAATCTTTTAATTGGAAATGACTTAGCTTGCTAGAGTTATCACAATGCACACATACTCCCTAACTCAACTGCCTTGTCTCACTGCAATAGACAAGAGACAAATAGCAAATTACAGCATGTCATATAGAAAAGTTGGCCTTAAAAACTGTTACTTTAAAAAGAATTTGTAAAAATACGTATGTTCACTATTCTTTATATGAGTCTTTTAGGGTATAGAGCTAACTACTGTATTCCTTAGCTCATTTTGAAAGAAGAGGTCCTCCAGGAGATCCTGAACAGAAAACAAATTGAAAACCCTATTTTTCAAGTGTAAAATCTTGCAGTTTAACTCCGCATTTATAATGCAATCTTTCTATGCAATTTGCTAAGGGATTTTTTTCTTAAAGAAAAAACCAGAACATTTTGATGCACAAACTCCAAAATCAGGTGCTATGCTTAGGATTTAAATTCCAATGTTTCTGCACAGCTGGAACTACAGGACTAACTATATCAACTGGAAGAAGGATGGCAGGCTGTTACCCTAGAAGGCTGGCCCTCGGTATTTTGCTGAAGCTCAGGTCTCCGACTTGTCTTAGAAAAGCAAATGAAGATTTTACTCCAGACTATAACCTCAAAGAAAAATTGATAAGGCAACCTCTGTTTGACCTTCTCCACTCTTCCACATAAAATGGTTCTGATTCCCTCAGTCTGTAACATGACACAGATTAAGTTATCCTTCTAAAATGTTAACAAATTTTTCTTTGCAGTAAAAGAAAGAAATAAGTGGCAAATTGAAAAAAATATGCTGCTCAGCTGACTTGTTATTCTCATCAAGAAAACACCTCCATTTCAGAAGTATCTCCACCTAAACATGTAGAAAACCATAAAAGGACTCTGCAGGAAGCAAATATCTAGTCTCTTGTACAAGCTGTTTTACAAGAGTAGCAAAAAAGCGAAAACAAACAAACAAAAATATCATGCCAATTCATTCTGATAGAGCCCTGTGTAGAATTGAACATATTTCTGGAGTAATCAGTGAGATCATACAAATTGGATGACAGCCTCTCCAGATAGAGCTGAAGGTAGGCTGGTACATTAATCAAATCTATGAGGCACAGAAACTAGAAGCTAGAATAGGAAAGTTCTTTGTGTCACATTGATGTAGAGTGTTGTCATCTCAGTTTTGTTCAAGGCAACTCCAATATCTGATGTTCCCAGAATCCTGTCCACTGTTGTCCTGCGCTTACATCTCACAAAAATTAGTGAAAGGTAAGCTTCCCATGGAAAGGACTTCTTCATAAATGACTTCAGGGTTAGAAAATATGCAAGGCTCATCCAAGAATTCCTCCAAGAAAATCTAGGAAAAACTAAGGGTAGAAATCATCTTATGTAATATTAACAGCTAAGTTTGAAGCACACGAGCCTAGTCTTTATGACCAGGGGAGAGAGATCTGGCACTTCCAGATGGTCATTCACTTAATACTAAATAAATCTTCTATCCTCCTTTATCATCCTCTGGAAATGCCTGTTTCTCTTCACTGACTCTGAATGAAGCTTGGCGTCATTCTCCTAAATCTTAGAAAATGAATACTCGGGTAGCTCAAATTAGGCAAAATCCCCCTAGATATAAAAACATTAATAATCTTAGTTTATATACAAAGCATTATTATTTTTTAATCAACTCTTGCTTTTTCTAAATTATTAGAATCAGGAACATAGTGTATAGTACCTTTCTTGCCATCTTCATACAGAACATAAATCTCATTTCACAATTTTCTAACAAAACTTATTGTCCATTAATAACAGAAACTGTTTGGCTGATTTCAGAAAGCACATGTCCCATATTTATAGCTGATACCTAAAGTCTGAAGAATATGTCCTACCCAATTATAACAATTTTAGAGGCAGATCAAATTACTGAATGCTAATAGATCATTGTCCCAGTATTTTTTTTAATAGAAAATATTTAAATAGCGATTACCAATTTGATCTATTGTAAAACGCTTGTTGTTTGGTTGTTGTTTTTTTTTTTTTTCCCATAGGGCATTAGGGTTTTAATTTGCAGTAACTGTCCACCAAATACCAAGTAATTCAACTGGAAATAAGAGAACAGGGTGAGTCACAGTGCCCCAAATCTCAAGGTCAATCCAGACGTGACCAAGGTAGAAGCTGTTCCTACCACATTGCTTGAACACTGGGTACAGCTGCCCACTCTATGACCTTTCTATGCACAGGGTACAATGAGCTCAGGAAGGAATATATGTCACGGGTACGGAGTAATGATATGGCACCCTTATTAAAATATTTCAATCAAACCAGAACAGCAGCCCTGTAGTATCTCTATGATCAGCAAGAATATATATAGTACTTGCTAGAGCTAGAGAGCTCCAAAATCCCTCTTCGTGCACCAGGGTAAAAGGAAAAAAAAAAAGTGGTAAGCAATCTGCGTTGCAGCAGGCCAGGGTACTGTGACAAAGCAACATTAGCAGCTATGGCAGTACAAAGACTGCAATAGCAGAACACATAAGCATGCAGATAAACTAAAAAAAATGAGCAATCAATTGGCTCAACATCATCACTGTGAAAGTAACATCAAGGTTAACAATATTTCTTAAATACATAGAATAAATTAAGTCTCAATTCTAACCAAAAGAGAGAGAGAGTTTCCATGAAGATAAAAATTCTGCTCAGGTAATTAAGGATATAGAACAGTTACCATACACTATTATAACAAGAAGGTCACCACAGAGAAGTTCGTAGTAGTATAACTACAGTGTAGGTAAAATATTAAATAAGCTTACTTTGATAGAGAAAACAGACCTTTAAATTAATTTCAGCTTTAGTCTCTGAATAACAACAAGATGATTCACACTTAAAAACACCAGTCAACTAAACAGCTATAGAGAGTCCAATGTTTTGAACAGGTACATTATAATGAAGGTCAGCAGAATTGCTTCATATGAAGAATGTTCTTCCTATCAGAAAAATCAATTTTTCAGTTACTCTAATTTTAGCACCTGCATTTAGTTTTCCATGCCGAGTGTTTAAATTAGATTTCCCAGGGAATATTTTAATCTTTACATTCCAGAAGTACTTGCTTCTGAAAATAAGTTTTATTATACTTTAAAAATTACTGTGGCCTCCTCTTTGAGAGTAACCATTCACATCACTACAAAATTCCACTCTCAAGCTGATTTAACTTGCATTTATTAATATTTAAATTCCCTCTCCCCATCCTTCCATGCTCTAATCACAACCGTCTCAAACATCTGGGTTCTACAAAAAAATCTTCCACTTTCTGGCTTTACTGGGTCATAAAAGTAATAGAAAGATGTGTACTGCCTATCTCTGTTGAGAGGAGGGAAGGAAGACTAATCATAAATAATGATAAAAAAATTAATGATGTTCTTAACATTTCTTTCCTATGACATGTATGTGGACATTTAAAGTTTTATACTCTACTGAATGTGGAATAATCCTGAACTTTCTATAAGCTCAAATTTAAAGCTTGTTCAGTATGATATCTATAACCATGCCTGCCCACTGCCCCAAGGTAATTTTTAATATTATTATAAGGAAAAAAAAGAAAAAAAAAATCTTCGGACTTACTCTGAAGTAGTCACTGCAGGCTGCCAGGACTGCTTTATGTGCGTGGAATTTCTGTTCTTCAGCAATAAGGGTGACATCGCAAAGTATGCCATCACTTCTTTGTTGGTTCAGGGCTGCCAGGACAGCATCATTATGGGAGCTGGACTGACAAAGCCTCTGACCTGTCAGCATTTCCTGAACACTGAGAGGGGAAAGGGGAAAGATTTTGTCAAAAAAAAAAATGCAAGAAACAAGCAGATTCTGTCAGAAATATAGAAGAGCTTTCTCTAAGAAAAGATTGTTTGATAATTCTTGGAAAGAAAAAAAAGAAGTCATGAACCCTGTCAGGCAAAAATAATCACAAGAAAAGCTCAGTATAGCGAAGTGTTATGAAACCTGATTATATACTCAAATTTAAGAACCTCAACTGTTCTGATTTTCATTTGCTGCACAGAAAGTCAGCTGGACTTGCAGGATTAATTCAGAATCATTTTAGAATTAAGTCAGAAGAAAAAAGGGCCTAGGTCAACAGAGTGATAAAAAACTTTACGTGGCTCAAACTGACGCGTAAGTGGAAAGGAGCATGTATGTATGTATGTAACTAGTCCTGCTAAAAAGAATGAAGACTCATGGTCTCAGGTGGCCTGTTTAAGTCTGACACTGCGTTACTGATGATTTTCAGACCATTTCAGGTCATTCACATTTATAAAGTGTTCTGGGGTTTTTTTGTCTGTGTTACATTGGCAGGGGGAGGACATTTGCTTGTTTTTAAAACGCTGAGGCCTTCCATCACCTCTTAATATCTCCTTGTATGAATACAGGATTTCCATGTCATTCAGCCTAAGACTGTCTGATTGCAGCTTCCTTTTCTACAGCAGAAGGAAGAGACAATATAACTATTGATGCAAACAGAAACAAATCAAACAAATCTGCAAATCCCCTTTAGCACTAAACAATGCAGTTTGTTTGAAGTCTGTGAGACTATACCAATTTATATTGCCAGAGAATCTAGAACTTTACAGAAGGTGTATTTACATTCATTCCTGAGTAAATCAAAGTGAAGGTTGTTTTTTTTATTAAGGGGTAAATAAGCTATCATTTTTCCACTACAATCATGTAATTCATTCCATTCCCATGCTACACATCAGCTACGTGGCCGCTATATTCTCGTCTCCCAACAACACACACTCTCTGTACCGCTTTTCCCACTCCTGCACCCTGGGCATCTGCAAACTAATGCAGACCTGCCTTGCAGACCGTTTGCTCTAATCTAACCCAATCTTTTTAAAAGACAAGAACTAAGACATTACTTCTAGAAGAAGGATGGCTGAAGTGGAGTTACACAGGAATAACCTATATCTGAATTTCATCCCCTAACAGCTTAGGTTTCACACATAGATATACCCTGGATACATTTCAAAATGATTCATTCAAATGATCATTTTTCCTTCGGCTGTTGTGCTTGTGGAACCCCACTGACATTTTAAGTGACAATTATCAAGAAATGTAACTTCTTAAAATATAAGGGAATTATTTCTAATAATTATTTCCCTTCTGTAATTTCTATAGCAAAGTGACAAAATCAAACCAAGATGTATTATTTTTGGCAGGCAATGCAACAGGTTCAACTCGCGGTATTCAAAAAAAAAAAAAATCAAATTAATGAAACCGTATTTTTTCTCCAGCCTTCATCAACAGAAATAAAGAATCTGAAATCAAATGTTAACCATCATCAGGTTTTTTACCAATTGCTGGAGAGCTGCAGGATACAGTCTGCTCACCCTGGTTTCCCCTTAAGAACCTGAAAGAACATCGGGGCTTTGGGGGGTGGGGGGGTGGGGTGGGGTGTTTCCCTATGGAAACTAAGAACATTAAAAAATTGGAAGATAACCTGTGCAATTATAATAAGTTAATTATACCTGGAGATGGTTTCTCTGTATTTCTGCTTTTATTAGCCTCCCTCCCAATGCTGTGAACCAAGCCCTTCAGTCCTCTTGCTTATCTCACAACCATACAGAGTGATTTTTGCACAAGACAAGGACTATTTCACTCACCAGAAAACAGATCAGAGGGACAAGGCACAAAGGTAATTTTTGTTGGGAAATTTTTTATATATACATAAATATATATCTATACACACACACATAAAATTAGGCATCTGTAGTTTTAAGCTGAGCTCTGTCATAATCTTTTTTTCAATTCAATGACCGAAGTGAAAAATTGATTGTCTGTAACCCTCGTGTTAACAACATATGAAGAATGTACACATATGCAAGGCAATTTAACTGGAATTTATGAATGAAAAAGCACTGATTCATTAAACATAATATGGTCACTTTGCAGCGATACTGTCAGTTGATATGCTCAACAGCTATAAAATGCAAGGAAGTCCCAATTCTCTTCTGCTGCAGAAGCATGGCAGGAAAGGGGACCAGAACTGAAATGATATGATGGCCCAGTACTATCAGGTAGATCTCCAAGCTCCCAGATCACCCCATGAGTGTTAACTACTCTATAAAACAGAACAACCACCAGCATACCAGACCAGTGCAAGGTTCTGCAGAAAAGCAACTAGATTAACAAATTCTGCTGAGTGTTCTGCCTGGAATTTCTCCCAGAAACTAATTAAATTATAAATATCAAATTCTCTGATGAAACAATAGGCAATACAAACAAGTGAGAAAGGTTAGACTGGCAAGTACATACAGACAATTAAGACTCTATAAGAGGGGAAAAAAGAGACAGAACAGGAGATTCTGGAAGGCAGGAAGATGAGTTTGGGGAGAATGTTTTGAAGCCAATTCAAAGACTTGGAAGAGTAACATATGACCTGGATAGTGGAACACTACACACAAAAAAATGATCACCATCCACCAATTCAAATACACGAATGTAAAATGTCAAATGCTTCCACAACCAAAAATTCCAATTACAGACAAAGGCATAAACAAGTTAACATATTGTTTATCTTTAAAAGAGACAAACTGAAGAGACTGTGGGACTCAGATCAATCCCAGGCATGCTTCTCTGTGCTAGAGATAAGTGGCAAAAAGGAAGCAGATTATAACATGGATATGTATTAGACAGTACAAACTACTAATGAACAAAAATATTAATTTCACTTTTCTACTATCTGTTGAATGATGCTTCGGGAAACATCATCCTAAATGTCAATGACTTCATACATGCTACCAAGTACTATACCTCAGGCACCTCTCAGATGGCATCTTTCAGTTCTGCTTGTCTGAATTTCAAAGCTTATAGTCCTGTAGAGAAAGGAGCATGCATTGCAGCTAGAAAGAGAGAAAGAAAAGGAACATTAAAATTCAAACCATACACAGCCTCCACCTTAAAGATCAACACTTTCAGACTGCGTAATTCAAAAGCAACTTTCTTCAATTCTTCTATTGCAGAAATACATACTGTGTAGATTAAGTGAACATAAAATTTTATTGGCTAGATTAAGTATAGCCTGAAAGTGGCCTTTACTCTAGTCTTTTCTAGAAATTCACACTCCACCATCTGGACTTCCTGCATCTACTGCCTTTGAGGCATGTCTCCTTTCTGCAAACTCAGGAATACGTATTATTTCAACAAGGTGGAAGAGTGAAGAGGGTAATACATTCCCGAAGAAGAGTAGGCCTGAAGTACCTACTGGTGTTTGCTTACTTCCCTGAATAACACAGAGCTATAAAAATCTTGCATCTCTCCCAGGCCTGTCTAGGGTTTAAGAAGTTTGCCAGACACCTAAACTCATGCTTTGACTACATTAATTTTTCCTGAAGACACAATTTGCTGGGGGAGAGGTTCACTTTATAATCCAAAAGGCAGCTCCCACTTTCCCCAGAGCAACATTCTTGATTGACTAAGCATTGCTATGACCAAGTAGCACTGTCAACCTGGATATAAACAAACCGTCTAGTAAACATAAACAGTACAGTACATACAAGCAGCATGATCAGATTTATAAACCCCATAGATTTTTTTAAAAGGTAAAATACCAAAGTGACCACATAAACTAACCTATGCTGCTTAATGACTACTGAAGGTTGCTTTTCTAACAAAAAAGGATAAAGGCTGTTGTAACAGATAGTTATTCCCCAAAGCTGTCAAATCATTACAAATCTCACAGTACCTAAATAAGGTGACCAAACTTTTCCATCTCTGCTGGTTGCCAGTGCGCCCTTGTAAAAGCAGTCATCTTTAATACAAGGGGGGTTTTCCGCTTTCCAATTAAAACAATGCCCTTTTGCAGCTGCTATTCACACGCTTTTACTGAGATCAATACTGAAACACCACAACACCCTTTTGTAGTGTAGTTTTGTTTGTTTAATTAGTAACAAGTAATCCAGTTCTTTGCTTATATTAATTTTGCCCCTTAATCTTACACTGACTGGTAGTTCTACTCTGAAAGCCACTACACTAATTTCAGGGAGACTCTGCGATGGATATGTGAAGGCAGAACTAAGCCCTTAGTCGTTCCCCAGATAACAAAGGGGGAGGAAGGGCCATTAATCCTTCTCCTGTTCTCCTGAATTACAATTCTTCATTCTACAGACAAAACTACAGTTCCTACTTGCCAGAGGCACAGTGACCTCTACCTTTGTGCAAGAGCTGTCACCTGCATCACAGCAGTGGAAGGACCAAGTAGAACCACAGAAGAGTTTTGAATTTTGGAAGCTGATAACTTTGCTTAGCTGGATTTTCTTGAATACAATAGAAGGAATACTCTTGAAAATTCCTTGTAGATCTCATGTCCTAACTCCACACCACAGAAAGAGTAAGAACCTTGATGAAATATAATATGTAGCCTATAAAATATATTAAGAAATACGTATACAAAACACTAGCACAAGAAGAACATAGCTTACTGGTTTTCTAGCCACTGTCCAAGTCTAAAGCAAACCTCGATGTCACATCTGAACAAAGTCACTTTTTTTCCAACTCAGGGGGATCAGAACTTAACATTTTCTGAAGAATGAAGGTAAAAAAGCCATTCTTCTCCTAGGAACTCAAGTTTCAGAACAGGAAAAATCTCTCAGATGCCTCTCAAGGGGGCTTTCATCAAGGTTTGCAAAAGATGTGTAAGATACATTGCCTTGTTTTTTCCACGTTGTTGGACTTCTTTTCATGCCACTCTGCAATCAGATCCAGAGGCACCTCAAAACCTGGGCCTAACTGGGCCCTTGAGTGCTCACAGGCTACTGAGGACTTACTTTCTATTTCTGTCCCTCTCACGGCCCAAAGTCAGCACTACCAGAAATACAACCCAACAAGCTGTTACGCTTCTCAATGAAATCACTCTGAATTTCAGCAGGCTACCCTCCTTCCTACCCCCATCACTGTAGAAACAAGGATTCTTGTAATGATAAACTCCCCTGAAGACAGTAGAGCCCAATTCAAGTTTTTATAAACATGAGTAGGAAACTTTCTTCCTAGTAGTCTCCAACATGCCAATTTTTTAAGTAAAAAAATGTCCAAAAGTCCTGATATTGCTGGCTGCAGCTAGGAAACCCTACACCAGCCAGAGACGCAGGGAAGAAATTCAAGCTTTCTCTGACCTTTTCAAGAGGTCCAAAATCTCTAGCTCACAAAAACCCCAAGCAGCAGTGAAAGCAAACAGGAGAAGGGCCAAGACCTGGACAGAAAAGTGTTCGTTCTAAAATAACTAAGGCATCTGCTTCAAAGAATTAACAAAACATCCAAACAGTCCCATATTGAGTTCAATGTTTTGCCCAGACAAATCAATCTTTCCTAAATTTTGCCATATGCCTTTTCTCCTCCCAGATGCCAGCACAGCATACCTCACTTCTTATTTTTAAATCTACATCACATATACAAGAATATTATAACAGCGTGTAACTCATTTAATCAATAATGCACTGAATTTGTTTAGCAATACAGAATTACTTAAGGCAGCTCGAAAGTTTTAACAACTGGAAATTCTGTTGTATTTATTTATTTCTGAAAAAAAAAAAAAAAAAAAAAAAAAGAAAGGCACTTCCACCTGTGGCATGGATGTGCTGTGCCAAGACAGTTCCAAAGTCCTTTGTATGAAGAGCTTTTTTCTGTTTCAGGTAGCTGGATCCATCTTCTTTATGTAAACTAAGTGTCATTGGTACATAAGGAAATTCTGTGTGTTAGAATGCTCAAGACATACTATTGTCTTTCTATTTAACTACTTTAAGTAATTAAATAGGTTTAAAAGATCAATTAGTTTATAAATTTAAGGATAAGACTTTTGGTTTAAGTGGGAAACTTTAACCACCTAAATCCTTCTGTTCTAGTGAAATACTCCATTATGATGGAGATTAACAAGAAAAATACAGGCCAAACAGAAAACACTCACTAAATCTTTGGTTTGAGATACACATTAAATTTGCCATAAAACATGTTTTTGCATATTATTTCTCTGAGAGATTCAATTCTTACAAGTTTACAATCAAAATCACTAACCACTGATCCTATTACACTTTACAACTAATTTTTATTTTCTTATTGCTTTCTTAGTTTGTTCACATCCCAGAAAAGTGCAAAAATTGAAAACTTGCAAACAAAAAACCTAGTAATGATCCAGTTAGTGCCGAAAGAATATTACAATTATGTGGTGGGGCACAGGTGGAGACTAGTAGTTTTCCATGCAAACACAGTATATCTAGGGATTTCAAAGATAAGCAATTCAAAAGAAATCACACTGTCCATGCAAATGATTATATCTTCATATCCAATGAATCTATCAAAACAGTGTTTGTTCTGTGGGAGCTTCACGAAATGTCTGTCTTCCTATACATTTATTGTCTTAGTCTTATGATGCAGCAGAGTAAAAAGTAGGTCTTTTTTCCCTCTCAGAAAATCTTGGAGCAGTGTGTCACTCTGCTGCAGTCATCACATATTGCCAGGCTATGCTTCTTCTCTAACCTAAATTAGCAGTGTAGTTAGTTCAAGAATTATTTGTTCAAAGATTCTTAAAAAATAATACTTAAGCAAGCAGTATTTCTTCCCTTAATTTAGTTGATTATAATACTGCTTTGGAAATACTAGACAAAAGAGTTTATCTCCAAAAAGTATTTACTGGCAGAAGAAATGTGCCATTTTTCAGAAAAAGCTCTCATTGTTAGTTTAATCTTGAGGAACCAATATGACATTCAAAGTTTACACAGAATGCACCTTAAGCATTGAGAGAATTTCAGTTACACCTTTTCTCATAATTTTGGGAGTTTTTTCCTTGTATTATTTAGAAGTGAATTGTAGGGAAGAAAGTATTTCTGATTAATTCTTGAAACTACATGCCAACAAATACAGATTAGGTTAACAGGAGTGGGAAATAAAATAAAATTTAAAAAAAAACAACCACAAAACCCAAAAAAACCCTGTAATTTAGTCTAGTTTACCACTGAAACTAACTTGAATACCACAAAATTCACCATCTTTTCCCACAATAAGCTTTTTTTTTCCAGGTCACATATCCAATTTCACAGAGGGATTTAAGCCATAGCCTAGATCATCACAGACCCAATTCCGTGCATAAACAGGCTCTGTATTTCCAATTTGGTGCCTAAGAAACATTTTTCCCCTCTAAATATGCTTGCTTTGTCTTGCAAACTAGCAAAAATATATATTCATAATGGAAAATGCAGCCTATTAATAATGCTTGAAAACATACAGCTTTTCTGTGTAATTCAAGCTTATATAACAGTAAATATCACTTTGGAAGTTTCATCAATAATTTTCACATTTGCTTATGTAAATGTTACAATCAAGCTCAATGTGAACTTACTTATGGAACATGACATAAGCGTTACTTTTGTTAATATGTCAGAAATTAAGTGATTTGAAAATCCTGATTTTAAATGTTTTCTAATTACAACAATAAAATAGTGTTTGACAAGAAATCAGTTCTCTCTTTCTTACTAAGGCAATTACATCTTTGGCACCAGTTACTAAATTATGCCCCTCCCCACAAGATGGTCATTCCTCTCCCATCCCCTGAGCCCCAGCCTAAGTTCAGGGGAAAGCAAGGGGTCTGTTGCCTATCTAGAAGTCATAAAATTCCGTTCCAAGTGAGCTGTACAGATCACTCTAACATTGGTCATTTGCTTTAGCAGTTTACAGAGCAGGATCCTCTTCCACCTGGGCTGGGCTGCTCATTCCATCCATCTGCTGCCCTCTTGGCTGCCTCCACAGTTCTAGGTAACAGACTGTGCAACCAGACACAACATCCCTGCTC